ACAACTCGTAAATGTTTCTTTATTGGGGCCAATACATTTAACCGCTTACGTAATTGTGTTCGGTAAAAGTTTTATTTTGACATTCTATATAAAAATACAGAGAAGGTTTTGTTTAAATATGACCATCACCAGGTTTAAAACAGAGAAAAGTGTTTTCCTAGTTTAGCGGTGAGAGGGCTAACTGTGATTATTTATGTTACAGTTTTTGTGATTATATAAAGTAGGCGTCAAAAAAAAAATGTTCGTACACTTCCAATTTTCTATAAGATTCAATGTTTTTGACTAATAAAAACCAATACATCGGAATAGTAATTGTTTAAAATAATATCTGCAACTTTTTCTTATAGAAATATCATAATCAATTTCTAAAACATAGTATAACTATTATTTTGAAAAATCAATAACAAAACAAGATATCAATCATTGGCATGGACAAGTAATTTTAGCGCGTTTTTCACACGTTGTATTTTACAATAATGCAATTTTTACTAACAGAAAGTAGTCCTATACTAAAAAAAAATTTCTAAATGATTAAATTTAAATATGATTCGGCTCATCTAGGGCACAAATGCGACCCAATGCCGAAAACCCGAGGTCAATGGGTTGCTTATTGGCTGAGAAAAAGGTACGACAAAATATGGAACGAGGACGAAATTTGCGCCCTATTAGCGCTTTTGTTCCACTACGTGAAAAACGCGCTAAAAATACTAAAAAATACGCGACAAAAGTCTTCGTACACTTAAAAAATTCTCAATGTAATAGTAGATTTAAATATTGTTTTCTTCTTAATTCAGTACTTAGAAGGGATATCTTTTAGAGTCCACAGCAACTTGTAAACGTCTTGGTATAGATTTCCTCAAAGTTTTGTAATGTCTACATCAGCATTCCTCCATTCTTCTGTGATTATTGTTTTTTTTTCTTCAAGTTTTGATTTTATAAGTTATGTTTTCTTTTTCTAACTTCAAATTCTCACCAAATATGTTCTACCTGGCTTTAATCAGATAATTTAGGAGGTGTATTCAGAATTTAGTGACATTTATGGATACATCAGTGGCGTACGCAGTGTGCCTGGTATCATTATCTTGTTAAAAAATGAAGTCACCTTCAATATCCAAATTTTGGTTGGATAATTTCAAATTGTTCTTTAAAATATTTAAATATAGCTCATGATTCACAACACAATAAAAAATACTAAATTACCTAGTCCTGACGCCGATTTATATCTTTAGATACATTATTTGTTGCGGAGAAAGTTAAACAAAACCAAGTGATCACAATTTCTTTAAACAATTCAAGTAATCAATTACAAATTGAATTCGAATCCGTTTTCCATTTCACAATATTTTCAGCAATTGCACTTGTTTTCTGCAGTTTCCCCTTAAAACAGCAAACGATTTTATCCAAACAGATATGTTTTACAATTGCCCCATGAAAAGTATATAATTTATTTATCAAACGATTTATCTTTCAAAATGATATTTTGAGAAGAAAATGATTAATCGAAAAAAACACTTATCTGTTGCATTATCGTAAGTATTGAAATGAGCAATTTAAAAGAAACTAGATCGAAGAAATTTGTACTTAAAAATAATAACAATAATGCCGAACATTATTACCTGAATAACTATCTTTACACAAAAAAAGTGTTTTTTTTCATTTTGTTAAGTTTTATCTATATTGATATCATCTTAATATGGACACTATTTTTACTTTTCATGGGGAGGAAGAGATAAGTATATAATGAAATTTTATAGGTAAATACTTTTTGCGTGGAAATTCTTAGAAATATGATTAATTTTATAATGGAAATAATCTTGATATTTTTACGCTTACTTGTGAACTCTTTTCGTTGGTAACGTTAAGTGTTATTCGCACAACTTAAATGATTGATCGAATTTAATTTTGGGATCCAGTGTGCTAAATGCTTTTTACTAACCTTTTTGCTTCCTGACAAGCATCTACATATAGATTTAGATGTAAACTCTTAATATCAGCATATTATGGAAAAAAAAGACTTCAATATATTTTTTCCGAATCGAAATTATACAAAAATAGGAAGAAAATATTTTATTAGAAAGAAACAGTCAAGTTCCTGAAACAAGATTCTTCGAATAAAGCAATCTGTTTGAGATCCTTTAAAACTACTAATGTAATATATATATTTTTTTCAAACTATCTTAAAATAGTTCAAGTTTTTTTGTTTAAAATTGGGATGAACAAACGTATTCTTTTGTACCTAATCCCTGGAGAATATTTGAATTGAGTAACAGAAAAAACTGTTTAAAAGAAAAAGACTTTTTTTGGTCCCAAGTAATAATGTATTCACGGTAAATATATTTCCTTTTTTATTGTTAGTGTTTCTTGCATGTTTTGATTGCATAGCACACCACTTATTAAAAAAACTTTTTTTAACATACATTGTTGATGCAAAAAATAGCACAGACTTGCAAAATAACTCTTATATTCCATACCTTATACCAATTTTTTTTAACTTTTTATTTAGTAGTACTAAGTGCTTTTTGAAGCATTTCTTGCTTTTTGTGCTAATGGATATAGCTTCTTTTTTAAGAAAACTCTCAATGAATAGATTTTTTTCCCTGTAAAATTTTTTTTCGTTTGTGTCGTGTCAATTTGTTATAAATAGAAAAGTAAATAAAGGTACTTTTTTTCCATTTGTCTAAAAAAAACTCTGAACTTTGGATAATTAAAAAAAAAATATTATTCTTAAAAAAATATATTAAATTATTGTTCTGAGAAACTGAGAAAAGTTTTCGATTATTATTTTTTTCTTTTTTAAGGAAAATCTAAACAAATTGAAATAGTCCTACTGGACATGTATATTGTAGAGTTCTTTTTCAATATCGTAAGCAATCAATCTCATGCTGAGTGTTGGATAAAGGCAACAAAATGCACATTTACTCTATAAAACATTTTTAAAAAAATATTATTTTGTATCTTAGTTTCATAATAAATATTCCTGACCTTAAACGTATGGCAAAGTATTGGAATAAAAAACAGATCAGATTGATTTACTTTCACCAGTAAAATCAAGAATCAACACTAAAGTATGGTTGTTAAGCTCACAGTCGTGTTTTACCTGTAAATATTTAAAAAAAACATTGAAGATATACTTATCGAAAATGATACAACATCTGATTAACCAATAAGAAATATTTATATTCGAAAATGTGCAGAACTATAAGTTTGTCACAGTTTGAGAAAAACATTTATAATCAAGCTGAAAAAATATATAAAAGAAACAAGAAAATTGTTCCATAAATACTGTATTTTTCTAAATATATGCAGATCCTTATATAAACCGAGAGTGTGTTTTTTCTACGAAAATGTACCCAAAGTTCGAAACATGGTACATAAGACAAATTGAAAAAAGATCCCGATTGAGGGTCTTCAAGAAAGTGAAAATGTCGCCAAACGGTGGAATATTTTTCAATTAGATTGCTATAAAGAAAAACGCCGGACGTCAAAGATGGTATTTTATTTCTGTTATCCCACTCTGATGCTATACATTTTTTCCGCCCGATGTTATCTTGTATACTGTCCGAACTTGTCAGACTTCCTGCACTATTCTTCTTGTTGTTATGAACATGTGAGCAGAAAGAGACTTACAATTCGTCAAATTACAGACTTAAATGGGATGGTCATCTGGCTAAAATGAATGATCTTAGCTGCAAGAAAATCTTTCAAAGCCCATGGGAAATAGACTTCGTAGCAGACCTCTCTAAGATAGATTAATTATATTGAAAAAGATCTGAATATTTCAAAGGTTGGGAAACAGTTATACCGAAAGTATAGATGTCCGGAGAAGACTTCTGAGGAAGGCTAAGGCTAAAAAAGTGCACATTTTTTAAAACGGTAAAGCCATTTTGAAACGAGAATGCCTAAAAATGAGGCTGTTGCATCATGTAGTTTACATTTTATTAAACAGAATACCTTTAATCCTTTGTTTATGGAACATAAAAAACCGTTAGTGAAAATTTCGTTTATTTATTTATAATTAATTTTTGAATGTGTTGTCATTCTTCTTGAGCACCCTATATTTTGACGATTTCAGCTCCGTAAGAATATATAAATTTGAATTTTTCACACAAAAAACACATATTGATAATCATATGTGGAATTATTAAATAATTATTAAGTATCTTGTTCCAATAATAATTAAAAAATGGCAATTTCAAACAAAATGACACTTTTTTGTATAAATCGTCTGATACTTAGATGCATGGCATAAATCGTTTGGACAATTTTGTTAAGTGTGCATATTTGAAACCCATTTAGAATGTCTGCGATGCTCTTATTCGCCTCGCTTAAGCAGATGGCGAGCATATGGCGAATACAAAAGACTGTAAATCGATGTACAAGACGTTCTGACATGGAATAAATGAATAAATTTGCGGCACCGGTTGAGAGAAAGATAATAACAGCTTTAAATGAAATGTAAAAGAATTAAGAGTCATTTCTAATTACTACAATTTAATAAGATTTGAAAAAAAAATGAAAACATTTTAATATATTCGACTACGTTTGGAACCCTGATTTTTTTAAAAAAAAAGAGTGTATGAAGGATTTTTTCCCCCGGATATTCAGTGTGTGTGTGTGTCATTTAAGTTATAACATATATATCAAATAGTTTTAAGTATATTAGTGCAATAAAAATTAATTAAATGTAAAATTTTGGCAAGAAATAAGTTAGAATAACATATTTTCGAAACATTCTCTTTTTATGGAAAATGCATCTGAACTAGGATTCCTGAAAAATTCACTATATTTTTAGGGTTACTGACAAATGAAATAATACCCAGTGCTTTTTGTTATTTATTTATTATTAAAACTTTTCTACTCTGTATTAAAATAAGAATAAATCCACTTCTATACTATATATTCCAAAAATACTTGTTTAATCTTCCTACAGAAGTCTTAGTTATACATAGACAAAATAATATATAACATCATATATAAGAAGGAAAATTGCTAGTTGTGTCACTGTAGCGCAATGGATAGCACGTTGGATTTCTAATTTAAATGTCGTGGGTTCGAATCCCACCTGGAATAGCCTAATTTCTCAAAATTTGATTTCTTTTTGACTATACTATTTTATTAGAATAATTAAATTTAATTGATGAATAATAAGTAACAAAAAAAAAGACAGTCCAATACCATTATAGAAAGGAAAATGGAAAATTGCAAGGAAAATCGCTTTCTATTTTGTCACTAAATATTGTATGATTCTGTCATATGTATATACAAATTTATATTAATTGTAACTTTTTAATAAAAAGTAACTAATATAAAAAAGTTTTCTTTGCTGACCTAAATGGAATTGATTTAATTCTTTTTCTATTACTTGTTAGTGACAGTAACTCATATCATAGCTTATTTTTGTAGTAAATATATATATATGTTGACATTATTTTAATTTTATTTTATTCAAGCTTAAATTTTAGAAACTCGAAATGGAAACTTTTTTTAAAGAGGAGCGTTTTATATTTGAAAATTGAAATGATGATTCCTGTTTGCTGTCTCTGGAAGCTTATTATTACTTATTAATTCAATATCATTGTTAGATAATTATTTTCTATGCTTAATTATTGCTGTGGTTTTCTTTTGTAGCTTATTTTAAATTGAAATTGTCTAAAATGGTGCTAGTTATTTATTAAATCAAAATGTTCTATAATGTATCATAGCTAGCATCTTTATAATAATTTTCATAATAATTTTATTTTACCTTCGCCCAGATACATGAAATATAAATAAATTTTACTATAAATATTTCTTTTTACAAACAAAATATAGTTCTATTGAATATTTACAAAACCAATATAAAAAAGCAATACGGTCCGAAAATAATCTTCGTTCTTTCTGAGTTATATATTCCATTCTATTGTCTTCTCTGCCCTGGTAATATACTTGTTACTCGACGAACACAATTGCTTGTGAGTAGAGACGATTCTCATAGAGTTGCGGAAATGAGTTTGTAGTTTAGCATCCATTCCACCGTAAACACAGACACCATAATACTTACATTAGTGTATTTGTAATGGGCACGGTTGCTTCTTCACTGTGATATTAGCCTTACGGATGGGAGTTATTTATGTTCATGTGCAAAGGGGGGCTAACTAGTTCTGTAGAGTTGCATTAAGTAAATTCTCTTTCTTTGTCGAGAAGAACATTTAATGTTCTCTTGTATGGGGTACCTTTTGGTAATAGTTCAAATATAATATAAACAGTGAAAATCTCTTAACACGAAACTGAATGGACTAAAATATTTTTCCGTGTTAAGAGAATTTCGTGTAAAAGGATATTGAAAAAAAAACCCTACATAAACAAAATTAAGTTTATTAGAGTTTATTTTCTTTTCTAAATATGTGTGTGTATACTTGCATATATTTAAGGGAACCAGGACATGCTCGGGGGTGTAAAATGCCACAATTAAGACTCTTTGTTTATGAGACATATATCTTTTAAAATTTTCAATAGAGCTTAGATATTTTATGTTCGTAATAAAGATAATTTAATTATTCTGTAGAACTACAAAAATAACTTTTTAGTTCAAAAGTTTTTTTTTCCTACTTAATTTAAGTAATACATAATTTTTGAGAAATCTTAATACATACTTATGTTTAGGTACCATTTTTTTAAAAAAGTATATTTTTTTATACAAAATATTTTGTACACACATATAAAACAATACACAAAAGACAGTGAACCTATTTTTTTAGTGAAAATTTAGTATAGTTTCTATAAAAAAATGATGAAAATTTCTATTTATCTGCTTTTTTTATGCATAAAACCATTTTTTAAAAATTTAGGCACTATTTTAATATAAAAAAAATTAGGTTCACTATATGCATAGGCATCTTGTATAGAAGTATAAAAAATCTGGAATCTTATAGTGCAATAGTTTTTTTTAAAAACAATGTACCTAAACGCAAAAAATATGCTTTTGAGAAAAAGTGAAAAAACTAAGGATCAAAAGGGGCGTGGTCATTTGTTGACATTTTTATTTTTCATATTTTAGAGCTATTTTATCAACAAACATATAAGTATTATACATTTTTAGGTCCAGAAAAATATGCACTATTTTTTAGAACTAAAATTGAAAAATCGATTTTTTGAAAGTATATGATGTCTTGGTTTTCTAAAAATCAATGAAGAAGAAAATTCACAAGAACTTAATGAAATGCAATACAAATGTGCCGATTTTTTGAAAAACAAACCTTTTAATGAATTTTTGAAAAATAAACCGAACTTTTTCTTTGCATTGATTTTTTAGCATCAAATTGTAGATATCGTCCATTTTTTAATTCATTTCACCATTTGAATGTGCGTATATTTACAGTGAATATATATAGAGAAAAACAATTAACATGAAACTGAATGAACTGAAATATTTATTCGTGTTAAAAGAATTTCGTGTGCAAGGATATAGTGAAAAAACCAGATATCAACAAAATTAAGTTTAATAGAATTTATTTTGTTTACCTAGATATGCATATTCGTATATATTTAATAAAAATCAACGGAACAAAAACATTCACAAGAACTTAATGAAATTTAATACAAATTCTCCAATTTTTTTGAAAAACAAAACCTTTATCAAGTTTTTGAAAAACCTACTGATATTTTTCTATGCAGGGATTTTTTAGCATCAAATTGTCAACAAATTGTTCAATATCGTCCATTTTGTTATTCATTTCAACATTGGAATGTGCATCTAAATTACCGCACTGCGCATTCTTTTCATGACGTTAATCATTTCGGATGATATGGGCACAGGAGCTGTATTATTTACTTCATTTCCATCGTCAGAATCTGCATCAATGATATTTTTTGAGCTTGAACTAACTCTAAAATATCTTTGTCTGTTATAATTAGAGCTGTATGCGCACTATCATCATCTGTAACGAAATATTCCAATAATGCAGTATTGTGCAGTCCAATAATACAAAAACTTAAATATTCCATTCAGTTTCGGCTCAGTTTCAAAATCCTTCTTCTGTAGGCGTGTCTTTGCGTGTAAGCGATTTTCGTTTCGTGTTAAGAGAAAATGCATGGAAATACATTGTAGTTCCCCGAGATCTTTGTATTATTTCGTGTTAACTGATATTTCGTCTTAATCGTTTTCGCGTTAAATGTATTTCACTGTACTTGAAATATTAAAAAAACGCAAAATATTTACACAAAAAATATTTTTTAAAAATTGTGATACTAGATGTAATAGGCAAATGTCCTATCCACTGTTTAATATAAATTCGAATGATTGTCGTTTAATATAAATTAGTATGATCGTCGTTTAATATAAATTCGATTTTCAAAATCAGATGGAATAGTCCAACAAACTAATATAATTTTACTTCTTAATACTGTTCAAAATATCAAGATTTTTAGCCATTTTTCTCCACCTTGTAGAAAAGGCTCATGCACATTAAATCTGTCGAGCTCATACTTTTCCCATTGGCGTAGTAGTGTGGTAGTTTGGAGAAGAGTGCCAGCTCAGGTGTCATCCTCTTGACTTGATAGAAGCTCAAAATTACGAGGTCTGTTGCCTGTAGCTCTTGTGTTGCCTTAAACCATAGGTTCTCAACGTAGGTGATAACGCCCCCTTGTGGGCGTTTGAGCCTTTCAGGGAGGCAGTAAAAGACCCACAGAAAATTAGGGGGCTTTGAGATGGCACGGAGGGGCTTGGTCAGATTTTCCAAATATAGTCTAAAAAAGACTAAAAAAAAACACGTTGATATGTACTAACAAAAATAAATTTTACTACTGTTTATTTTATGTTGATTGTATGTATTTAAATCCTTTCTATATCACAAGTACGAAAATTCACATATTTTGGTAGTTCGGGAAGTAGATGAAAAACTTAAAGATTACATTGCATTCAGACCTACATTAAGTTAAATGATATAGTGGATTTTAATTTCTGTATTGTCTGTGTTGTCTTTGTGAGCAGTAGGAAAAATGTTTCGTCCACTGCATTTCATTACGCATATTATCCAAGAAATATAATTAAATAAGTTGACCAGAAATTAACGTGTAATTCTTTAAGGGTTGAAACTGTCAATTTACAAAACAACAGTATCCTATCAAATATCCAACCACATCCTGTCAAGCACCAATATCCTATCTATCACTAAAATATATAATATTACGTATTTAAATATGTTTGTGGTATTTGCTATTTCAGATTAGCAAGTAAAACATTGAATCTTTAGAAAAAAATTAAATTAAAAAATATTTTCTATAAATAATAGAATATTTTTTAAAATTTAACTCTTGTTTTCACCTTGTATTATATACACTCTTATTTCTCTAGAATGGGAGGGGGCGGTATTGAAATATTCAGTTGAAAAGGGGGTGGGATCAAAATATTTACTAGAAAAGGGGGCGCACAGTTCAAAAAAGGTTGGGAATCCATGCTTTAAACTAAACTCAGTGGTGCAAAAGTCAATTTGGGTCAAGGCCTACTGTGCCCATCCCAGTATACGTGACCTTTGAGGTGCAAGAATAGATGTCCCGATCAGGAAGTCAGTCTGTAGCGAAACCCCCAATTTTTAGTCCCCAGTTAAGCTTGGTAGTCATTTATCGACCCACTGAAAGGATGAAAGGCTGAGTGGACCTAGCCCAGCCCGTGGATAGATCCCCGGATATGAGGTTTGGAAGCGTGAAATGCAACCACTCGACCATGGACCTTCTTGTGTTGCCTTATAGTGTGATATAATATAGCTCTCTTAAATTGTTGAACAGGATTCCTAATGTGAAGGGACTTATGCAGGGGTTGATGTTCAATTGATTGGTTGATTGTTAACTAACATCATACTCTGAAGTAATACAAGAACTATTAGCGGCGGACATCGTAGGTAAAATGATGAGGATGACACTGGATATCTTCTACTCCCGCTTCAAATTCCCACACCCCAACAATGGGAAGAATGTCATTGAAGCTCAAAGTCCTCGCATTGGGGTGGTGTAAAAGTTTGGAGGACAGTGAGATGTTACCTCATGTCAAATTGTCACTTGATCATTGGTTCAAAATTGAAAGGACTGTGGTCAAC